ATGCATGCATGCATGCATGCACACATTCATTTATTCATTATTAATTTTTCCATCTGCTTACTCATTCCATCATTCATTCATGCATTCGTTCATTCACGTCAGTATTACTTCGTTCGTTCATACGTTCACACACCCATTCATATACACGTTCTTACATGAATATATGCATCCATTCATTCCTTCGATCAGTCAGTCAGTCAGTCATTCAACAAACATTTATTCGTCCATTGGTTCTTATGTCCATACGTACATTCATACATTCAGACATTCATACATCCAGACATACATACACGCATCCATGCCGTCCTTCCTTGCCTTCCTTCGTTCATTCCTTCATTCGTTCGTTGAGCCGGTCGTTCGTTCACCATGTTCGTGTCCACGTAACCCAATGATTGTCTACCTGTCGCGAGCTGTCTTCATTATCCCAGCAGTAGAGCAGGCCGACAGATGGCGCAAGGAGGGCGACCAAGAGAATCTCCTTGAGATGCCCGGCACTTGGAGGTTTATTACATTTTGCCTGCATCGGCACTGGAACGGGGCGGTCTTTGACTCAAGCCAGACTCTGTCCACTCTTCGGAAATGTGACGATTCGGCCGAGTGCGATGCCGAGAGGTCGTCTGGCACACGCATAAGTGGCGACAGTCCGTTCTAAGGCTTCGTTGGACCTCGTAGTGTCTCTGTCGAAGGTACGGTGTGCTGTACGGTAGTATGCCCTGCAAATAAAAATCAAAAGACCAACTATACTTCTATGTGAGGTTAGAAGTGCAAATCCAGACCTACCTCGACCTGGAGGCAGGGAAGCGGACTTGAGATCTTATGGAAAGATCTGCTGAGACGGACCCACTGCTGGTGATGTTGAGCTTAGGCTAAGAGTTGCTGTGCTATCCCGGCAGTGCCAGGCACCAGATGGTGCGCTTCCATTGGCGCAAGAGGCTGGCTTTGGTCCATGGTAGATTTGGGATTTAGCGCTTGTATACGGGAACTGATTGGCATGCTCGGACTAGACTAAAGCCAGCTAGGCAGGTGGCAAGGAAGGAACCCTGAACGTGAGAGTCTAAATGCCCTCCTGCTTGCGCGGCCAAAGTAGTGTGTGCCGAATCCCCAACAAGGTTATAAGGGATTCCTGCTTGAACTGACGGATTGTCCTGTATTAGGTTGCAGTTGCATTGCGATCAGTCTGTTTTTCGCCGTGACGCTCCTCTTCTCTCTGAACCTGTGAGTAGCTTCTCCTAGTTCGAGAGCAGTTGTTGTGTGGCCTTGCAAGTCTTGTGCGAATTGCAAGAGTCGAAACCTGTCGCAGTTGCATCTTGTCGTTCTGCCTTTGGGAGTCTCGCGGGAACTTGGTATTACGGGTATCTTTGAAGGCTAGCTTGTGTCTTGATTGGTTTAGGAAAGTTTAGGTTGTGCTTGTGGACAGCTTGACGCCCAATCAGTTCAGGGAGTGATCCAAGCAGGTCCCCCACCCCTAAACCCTAAACCCTAACTACTTGCCATGCCTGCAGTTGCGAGTGTGTGAGTCGAAACCCTAACTACTCTATGTCAACTGACACGCGTGACTCACTCAGCAACGCAGGAGGCAAAAACCTGAAGCCCCCACCTGCGACAGCAAGGCTGTGAAGGTCGCGCGAAGGTCCAAGAAGCGAAAGCTCGAGGGCCATGCTCTCGAGTCTCTGGCCCAGGCGTGCCACGGGGCATTTCATAGGTCCGCATTTGGGCTTTGAAGGGCTTAATTAGGGCTTAATCACAAAGAACAATAACGATACAGAAAATAACACATTACGGGCTTCATTTTTGCTTTCTAACAATAATACTAGACAATAGTGATAAAAGCAATAATATTACTGTTCGTATTAATCATAGTACGAATTTTGGGTGTTGGGTTTGGGAGGCTCCGGCCCCAGGATTCCGAGGCATTTGTTTCGGTGTTCACGCTTTCGAGGTTTTTGAGGGTTTCGGGGATCGTGACACCCGAGACTCCCAAAAATCCCAGAATCAGAACACCTCCTTGAGCCGAATTAGCTGCGAAATGCTGGAGTTTGATAGGATTTCTGGGCCAGGCCCAGAAGCCTCGTGTGATCCGAAATACAGCCTGAACCTCCTACTGCTTTTAAGACCACCTTGATGTGGCTCCTATACCCAAGCCCGTGAGGTGCAGCAGGCGCGCGAGGAGCATGTGGAGGCCACAGCTCCATGTAGCTTTGGGTATCGGGCTTACGGCCTGGGGTTTCTAAACTGTAGAGCTCCACAAGGAGTGTTCCACAAGGATTCCTGTTCCAGACGGCATTCATAAACGTCCTGTCAGGGTTGTGCAAGTGTTTAGGTACGTAGCTGGTCCGAGCTCGACATTCTGGGCGTCAGCTCCTTTAGGTTCAGCTGACCCTAACCCCTAACCCTAAACCCTAAACCCAAACCCTCAGCCGCCGCTTCAAGATCCTTCCTATGAAGACTGGAGTCGTCTACGTCCCTGGGTTTTGAGTTTAGGACCCTACCTGGACAAAAAAAGTGCCTGTTGCAAAACGGGCTGAGGGTCCAACCCGGAACCTTGAGCCCCAAAAGGCGGGTTGCAAATCTTAGAGGACCCGAAACTGCTTCAGGGCACGTAGGACGTATGGTTACAAGTAGGGGCCCTTGTGTTAGTTTACCATGTGTATACACATGGCACACACACACACGCAAATTCAGGTATGTATATGTCTTTATATATACATATACATATGTATGCACAGGTGCACCCACACACACACCCCAATAGTTAAGGTATGACTAAGTGTTCCCAACTTACGATACCCCTGTGATCCTCGAAGTGTCTGCTGCAGGCTCTGAGTGCCTCAAAGGAGGCCATCAGCATCTTCCGTGAGATCGGAGACCAGGCCCGAGCACGAGCTTACATGCAATATATATCGGCGTCTGAAACACTTCGGAACAGTATCCCCTAACAAGTTATTGCTTCTAGAGAGTTTTGTAGATTATCGAAAACCCGATTCTTGTAATCAGTTAGGACCCTTTGTTGGCTGAGGGCCACTGAAGGGTTGCTTCCTGAACCAGACTTACAAGTATGCAGCTGGTCTTCAGCCAAACAGCCTTCGGACAGTGCGCCGACCGTTCCTGTAATCATGCCTCCGACTCAAAGACTCAAAGAGACTTTGTAAATCTGGGCTCAGTACGAATCTGCTTTTCTAGATGACCTGGAGGTCGCTGAAGCAGGAGCCCGTCATGCAGCCGTGTCTGCCGGGTGCATAGGGTTTACGGCGTAAGTCAGGGCAGGCAGCTACGAATGTGGAAGTGCGCAGTCGGGGGAGAAGTGTTTGCAGCACCCTCGTGGTACAACATCAAGCAGAAGACGAGTTCCTCTGCGATTTTTGTCCCCCTTGCTGAGGCATACATGGGCAGGAAGAAGCTGCCTGAGGTCGGGCAATCGCAACAACATACTACAACAACACCACCGGCAGCTACTACCGCTACTGCCACCACCACCTTGCTACTACAACTGCGACGACGACGACGACGACGACGACTACTAGTACTGCTGCTATACTGCTACTCCTACTCCTACTCCTACTACTACTACTACTACTACTTACTACTACTACCACCACTACCGCTACCACTACTTCGACTACTACGACTACTACTACTACTACTACTACTACGACGACTACTACTGTTGCTACTGTAGTTCGTCTAGAACCATACCACGATTCGCACCTGTGCAAGGGTGAGGACTTGGTGAGACTACCATGTGCAACCAGTCAGTTCCGTTTACCTGATGGACTGCCGATACAGTGCTGCCAGGTTTCAGGTCGTTTCAACACATTTCGGCGGAAGAACAGCTCAAACCCATCGCCGCTCCCCGTCTGGAAAGCCCACCTCCACAGGAGCTTTGGCTCTGAGCGCATCTTGCGCAGCTTCCAGGTTTGTCGGTGGAACCCTGAACCTCGGAGGCCAACCCGAAAGGAGCTAGGCAACGGTAGCATTCGGAATGATGCAACAACGTCGATGAAGTCGGGCTTGAAATTTGCGTAGTTGTGTTTCTGTACTGCTGCAAACGAAAAGACTCTTATTCTGCACGACCAACAGCAAATCCAGTCCTGTGCTATTGCATAGTGTAAGCCAGTGTAAGCGCAACTTGTTTAGTTGGCTGTTGCTGTTTTGCTTACCAACGGGTTGGCCACGAGCTTTCCATGTTTCGATGTCTAGATGTTCATGATCGCTTGGCCGGCATGGGCGCGCTGCCTGTGCGTGATACTGGCAGTCTTCCCGCGCGCCTCACACATGGAGCGCTTGGGCATGGTTTCTCGGATGCAAATGAGGCGAGGACTACCCGTCGCCTGTGGTTTATTGAGTCTATCATGTCGAAGTTGAAGCAGCATGCCGGAACGACTTGTGGTGTCAGTGTCATAGGTAGAGTGCAGCATCGGGGGTTGCGATGATGAAGGCCGCAAATAATTATCCAAGCTATTTGTAGGTTCGTCCTAGCCAGGAGTGTCAAAGGCAACGCCTTGAAAGATAACCGCAACCAAGGAATTCAATCCGCATGCAGCTTGCTCACGTATAGATTCTGTCACCCGCAGGACGTCCTTTGGCCGAAAGCTTTTATGCTAGCCAGCTACGGTAGTTCAAGTGGAAACTCTAGGTTTCTGACGCGAGTCACAGGCTTCTCGGGTGCCCTGAGCGCACTACTTGGACCTTGAGGGCCAAAGAGAAAAAGGCGGAGCGGAACCTCTTCGTTGACTTCGTGTGCCGAGCCTAATCCCTTGACAGCTGTTGCCAACGTCCCTCCGACGTTGGTAGCGGAGCTCTGATCAGGGGTGCTCCAGCCAGTCGGGACGCCCACTGGCTTCGCGGACAACCTCTTCGAGCTCTACGGGATCTACTTGTGCTACGTGACCGAGGTGCCGGCGGTGCGGTACCCGATTATCCCGATTGACAGAGCGGAGGTTGCCCCTGTTGCAAGTTTTTACCTCGGAAGCCGAGGTTCTTTGTGGAATTCATGTCCGAAAAGGACAACCGTTTTTCCTGCGGATGGGATGGCGACAGCAGCACTTGGGCAGACTTCGTTCGGAAGGCTCGGCTGGCTTTCGAACGGACACCGCGCAAACGGCGGCACCTGCTTGCTCCAGAAATACTTTCCCAACTCTCTGGGTGAGCCTGGGTGGTGACGCAAGAGATAGATCATGCCCAGCTCGTACGGAGGAATGGCGTGATTTACCTCCTTCAGTTCCTGGAGGCCCGGCTTGGCCCTGGTGTGGTTCATGATGTTGGGACCAGGCTGGAAAATCTGATTGTGAGGTTACGCCGACCTTCAGGTCAGAGTTTCTCCACATGGGCCTCCCGGTTGAGAGAGTCTTATCGCCAACTGCAGCAAGCGCTTGGGAAAGTCAGAAAGATTCAGAAGGCGATGACTCCAGGAACTTCTCCCATGATGGGCGGATCCCCCTCGTCAGTGAGAGCGCCAGCTGAGCGGAGCTCAGCTACCATGGACGAGCCCCACGGGGAAGCAGACACCGAGGCGGTCTTGGAGACGGAAACCCTTCCTGGTGAAGGGCCCCCTGTGGAGGATGAAGTGGACGATGTGGTGCAGGTGGAGTCTCCAAGGACTTCCCCGCAGCGGTCCCGACTTAGGCCTGTGACGCGGGATGTGACCACCTCTATGACTTCGCGAGTTAAGAGACCCGGCCGGAAAGATAGCGACAGTGACTCTTCCCAGCATGCTGCCCAGGACCTCCACCTGTGGGAGGCCTACACCGAGGTCTTGGAGGAGGCCCTGCCTTCTGAGCTCCTTGGTTGGCTTCTTCTGAGACGAGCCGGCCTCTCGAACACGGCCCGCCTGAGTGTCCAGGCGGCAGCCGGGAACTCCTTACGGCTGGAATCCATTGAAGCGGCGATGAGATCTATGGAAGACGAGCTCCTGGGCCAGGAGGTCCATCATCGAGGCGAAGGAGAACCTTCTGGATGGAGGAGCAAGGGCACTGGTCTCTGCTCCTGGCGAACGAGGATGACATGGGCGACCTCCTGGAATCCACCGAGGTTCACTACTACGGCGAGGATCACTCCCTGGATGAGAACGAGTACCAGAGTGACTACTGGGGTTCAGGGTTTGACGATGGGACTAGCTGGTGGGGTGAAACTACGTGGTCTGATGACTCAGAGTACCACCAGCTGACGCCCGAGGAGATGAAGGAGGTGGAAGAGGCCTACGCTGTGGCCGATGGCAAGCTTCGGAGCTTCGTGCAAGCGAGGCAGGCCGTGAAGGCGCAGCGGCTTTCGCGGGGTTTTTACCCGTTTCAACTTTCGTCCAAGGGCAAAGGCAAGAAGGGCAAGGACAAAGGGAAGAAAGGTAAGAGGCCCTTCTCCTCATCGCCGAGTTCTCCATTGAGTGCTACCTCCCTCCCGGTGATGCAAGCCGAGACGGCCTACGCTATGAGACCGGGAGATCCTTCGTACACTGGATGCTTTATCTGTGGAGACAAAAATCACTCCTTTAGAGAGTGTCCTCGGCGGAAAGGCAAGGGTCGTGGAAGTGTGAACTTCAACACGAGTGACATCTACTCGGTTGTTGAGGAGCCGGACGACACGGTCTTGATGGTTTCCAATGTCCAGCCCGCTCTCGACGCGAGCCCGACCGGTGACCCTGAGGAAACAGTGTTGCTTCAGGAGCGAGGTTCAGAAGTAGATCTTGCGGGGTTTGCCGTTCTTGATTCGGGAGCAACTGAAACAGTCTGTAGCCTGCCTGCCTTGGAGTCGTTGATGAATGCAAGATGGAGTGCCAACGGAAGGAGGGAGCAGATCAAGGTGACCGATGAGCCCCCGAAACGTTTCAAGTTCGGGAACGGTGCCTACGGCTACTCGGCCTCTCATGTGCTTCTTCCTCAGCGTTTGGGTGACTTGTGCGTGAGCCTTGGGATTTACACGTTGGATGTACAGGGAGTACCGCTACTAGTTGGTATCAAAACCCTGAGACGACTGCATGCAGTGCTTGATTTCCATCGTGATGTGATTGTCTTTGGTGCTGTGGACCCAACCAAAGGGGTCCCTCTCAGGCGTTCTCGAACGGGACACTTGCTGTTGGATCTGAGAGAGGACTGGATGTCTCAAGCCTTCGACCTACTCCAGCCAAGGGCGGAGACCGTACTGATGGCACAACCGGAGAAAACGGAAACCGCCTTTATGGTCACTGAGGGTTCGATGTCAGATGCTGAAGGTCCCAAAGAGACAGGAGAGCAGATTGTCAGAGAAGAGAATGCAGTCCATGTGTGCCATTCTGGACAGCGTGTTGCAGGAGATTGTAAAGAATTTGTTAGTGATCCTGCTCCTCTTGCGCATGAGGGTCAACCTGTGGATGTTGCGGACGCCCCGGCCCGAGTCTTTTCCGAAGAGTCTGAGATGAGGCCTTTCGCGACCTTAGTGACTCTCTTAGCTGCGCATGGCAACTTCCTCGGAGCCTCAGCCGACCGACCGTGAACACCACGACCCAGTCGTCCATGGTGGAAACGAACGGAAAAGGACGAGCGAAGCCCAAGGCCAGCAAGGAGAAAGCGATGCCCCTCGATGTCTCCCGCACTGTGGAAGCAGACCCTCGGGATCCGAGATACACCGGAGCCCCCTGCTTCAGCCAACATGTCCCCGACCCACCGGGGAAAGGTTCAAAGAGCGGATCGAACCAACATGGGCAGTGGGTTCATTGCAAACAGTGCGGCCTGAGGTTGTCGTACACTCCTCGCGTGGGAAAGCATGGACTTCGCCGTGCGCCTGGACCACTCCCGGCGGACACTCAGGAGGCTGTGGCAGGAGATCTACCGGAGATCAGCATTCAGAACTTGCAGGACAAGGAGATCGGATGGGCAGCAGCCGAGAAGTCCGCCGAGAAGTATCTGGCCCAAGTCAGGTCACAGCGACAGTCAGCCGTGGCCAAGACCCGAGGTGCAGTTCCCAAGTCAATACCTCGGCAAACTCCTCCAGCAACCATCGGGCCCCCAGCAGAAGCGAGCCCGGGAAAATCCTCAGCGTCGGACGAGTCCAACCTGGTGGTCATCGACAAGGAGGAGCTGTCTTCGCACCCGGGGCGAAAAGCGTCACGACCGAACGAAAGGCCTGCGGAATTCCAAGAGTACGAGGAAAGGACCGCGTGAACTTCGAGAACCTTGCAGAGTCGAACGAACAGAACTTCGAGAACCTGGCAGAGTCGAACGAACAGAACGTCGAGAACCTGGCAGAGTCGGACGAACAGAACGTCGAGAACCTGGCAGAGTCGGACGAACAGAACGTTGAGAACCTAGGGGTCTTCAGTGATGACTCGTTGCTCGAGACGCGTGCCAGGTCATTATACGAAGCCAAGGACTTCAGCATAGAGGCCATGGAGGGGGTCACTTCTTTGATGCATCCAGTATGTGCGAGGTCCTCTAGATCGTTCTCCAAGGTCAAGGGCAAGAGTTCTGCAGTGGTTCACTTGGGGATGTACAGTCATGGGGCCATGAGTGGAGTCATGAATCAGACATGGAGATTCCCATGGGTGACGCGATATGCCAATGCGTGGCTTCGGAACCAGCCTGGAATGGAGTCAGCCACATGGACATCTTTGGCCTTTTCAGTCAACACGGAGGCCCGTCCACATCGAGATCTCCATAACTTGGAGGGGAGCCTTAACTACGTGATCACGTTTGGAGCTCATGAAGGAGGCGAGGTGTGGCTCAAGACGCCTACTGATAGCCAAGGAGAGACCTGTACGATGTGGAAGAGAAAAGGGCCCCACGGGCAAGCTATGATGGGGTCTATCCTTCCCACTTGGCATGAGCTGGTGGCCTTCGACCCGAAAAGTTGGCATGCCACCATGAGATGGACCGGAAGAAGAGTGGCGCTGGCCGCCTACACCACTCGGTTGATCACAAAAGTTCAACCGGAGACCCTTGCGGATCTTCGTGCTTTTGAGTTCCCCATGCCCAAGAAGGAGAGTGTGATGTCCGGCCTCTACTGCTCAAACCTTGAGATCTCCCAGAACGAGGTGACGCTGGAGGACTGTGAGAAAGAAGAGATCTTGGCAGTCCTCAATGAGTATAAGGAGGTGATCCATGAAAATACTGAAGATGCGAAGGGCGGCTTCATTCAAGTTGCAGAACTTGGAGCACCAGGAGACTCCCGACTTCGAGAGCACTTGGAACGTGGAGGGGCTGTGGTGACCAGTGCCTCCTTCAGAGAAGGATGCGATTTGACGACTCAAGTCGGGACTGAGAGAACCTTGGGTTTCCTGGAGAACTTGAAGCCCCAATGGGTGGTGTGTTACCTTCCAAAGGGATCGAGCTATGAACAAGACGACCCACGAGCTGAGAGAGCCCGACTTAAGCTTCGGAAGGTCACCCGAAACTTCCTCAAGGTCTCCAGAGAGGCGATCTCCCACGGCTTCAAGGTTATCTGGATTCACAGTGGAGCCGAACGACTAGAACGTTTTCCTGAGATGAGAGAGTTCTGGCGAAGCCATCAAGATCACCATGGTGGGCAAGCCGTACGATGTGGAGATGTGTGGATCCGATGCTCGGAAACTACAATTCTCAATGGAGTTCCCCACACGACAAGTACTACAACTTCTCCCTGGAAGTCCCTCGCGACCCAACTCCTGGAAGCGCCCATGTATTGGGCCGAGGTCATGGCGACGCAGGCGGAGAAGGAGATCCTGGAGTCAATGGATAAGAAGGAGCTCGAGGAGTTGATCGAAAGGGCTCATAAAATTCATTGTCGACTCGGGCACCCTTCGAATAGACTCCTCATTCGAAATTTGAAGGTCCGTGGAGCTGATCCAAAACTGATCGTGGCGGCTTCTCAACTCACTTGTGACCAATGCCAAGAAGGAAAGAGAAAGGCCCGAAGGCCTATGGTCCAAACTGAGAAGTCAGAAAGACTATGGGAAACTCTACAGATGGACCTCTGCCACCATCGCATCGGCAACCAGATCCACCACTTCCTCGTGATGCAAGATGAGGCTTCCGGGTACGCGGTGATCCGGCGCATCAAGGTGACGTCAGAGAATGAAGGATGGAATGCATCCTCCGCCGACATCAAGGCGCTGGTGCAAGAGGCTTGGTTTCAGTATTTTGGGCCCCCATCGGTGATCAAGCTTGATGCTGAAGGTGCCCTTCGCGGTCACTTGGTTACCGACTTAGCTGAGGAGCATGGGGTAGAGCTGCAAGTATGCCCGGCTGAACATCATGAATTTCTGAGTGAGGTGGAAAGATTGATCGGGGTGCTGAAGGTGAAGGTCGAGTCCTTCTTACGAGGCAACCCAGTGGACCCGAACCAAGCAGCCTTAGCAATCATTCAGGCACACAACACGCACGCCCGCATTCATGGATTCAGCCCTCTGCAGTGGACAATGGGACGTGACTTTGATGCCGGTGGAGCCCTAGTTCCACGACCTGGGGAGCTTGCATCGATTTCTGCGTCAGCGACCCCCGGCACTGAGGTTTTTCGAAACCGAGAACTTCGTCTCCAAGCAGCGAAGGCCTTCATGGAGCATCGAGAACGACAATGGGCTTCCCGAGCCGCTAACACAAGACCTCATCCCTCCTCAGTTTATCTTCCTGGTGATCTGGTGTTTTATCAACGTCTTCGGCACCCCGCAGACATGGTCTCCAACCGATTAGTTGATCGGCCCAGAATGAGAACCTCAAGGTGGTTTGGCCCGGCGAGGGTCCTTGCCGCCGAGACGAAAGGTGAACCTGGTGATCGGAAGCCGTCCGCCCATGTATGGATCATTGCCTCTGGAAGGTTGAAGAAGGCGCACGTGTCTCAGTTGAGACACGCAAGTGAGACAGAGAAGTTGATTGCCGAGTCTTCAGGCACAGTGGTGTACCCCTGGACCTTGACGAGTCTCTCGGCTACTATGAGCAGGGGAACTTACGAGGACCTTACGGTACCTCCTCTTCCTCATCACCGAGTACGCCCTGCCGGCGAAGATCAAGAACTTGATGAAGGCCAACTTCCTGCCCCACCGGACGTTGAGGACCTACCTGATGCTGGAGCTGATGGTCAAGCTCGAGGTCATGATTCAGAAGAAGAACTTGTTCCGGCCCGAGGAGGAGAAAGCCTGAAACGCGCAGCTCCCGAGCCGTCCTCCCAAGACGAAGAGATGATTCGTGAAGAAGGTGAGCTGGATCTGGAACGACTTCTCGACGACCCCGACTACGTTCCTCTAGGACCTCTACCTCCAGCTCCCCCTCATACGTCAAGGCCCCTGAGTTTTCAAGAACAACGAGCTCAACATGAGTTGCAAGACCGACCACTCCACGTTCTGCGTCAAGGAGATGAAAATCAAGCCTTCTGGGCATCCCCTCAAGATGAACGTCTCTACGCGGTCACCATCCCGGCTCCGGAGAATGCAACTGAATGGAAGCGGATGGTGAAGAACCCTTCAAAGTTTGTGGCGAAGACGATGCAGAAGGGCGTGGAAGTGACTTGGGGCCGGTTGTCGGATCAACAACGAGCTGCGATGCAGGAGGCGAAGAGCCTCGAAGTCCAACAATGGTTGAAAACCAAGGTGGCTCGGAAGGTGGGCGAGTACGTGGACCCTCAATCCTTGATCGGGATGAGATGGGTACTGACGTTCAAAGCAGCCGAGCCAGATGCCCAGGGCAAAGAACAAGTAAAAGCAAAGGCTCGGATTGTGGTCCTTGGCTACAGCGCCCCGAGCCTACTGGAGGAGCCTACCACATCGCCAACCATGAGTCGACTGAGCAGACAGTTGATCCTTAACATGGCATGCGCGAGAAAATGGCCCATTGGATCAGGTGACGTCAAGACTGCTTTCCTACAGGCTCGACCAGAGGAACGAACTCAGCGTCTTCTTGCCCGTCCTTTACCGGAACTTGCGGAGGCTCTAGGCTTGGGTCCTCATGAAGCTGTCGAGTTGACGGGATCAGCGTACGGCTTAGCACAGGCCCCACGAGAGTGGTTTGTCGATATCCAGAAGACCTTGCGGAAGCTGGGTGCCAAACAATGTCGCACCGACCCGTGTGTTTGGAGAGTCTTCGATTCCTCCGGTCGGGTGTGCGGAATCCTTGGATCCTATGTGGACGACTTCTTGTTCACTGGAGATCCTTCTTCAGCCACTTGGGTTCGCTTCATGAAGTCTTTCGAGGAGGCCTATACGTGGTCCCCTTGGGAGTGGGAGAGCTTCGACTTCTGTGGACTCCATCTCACTCAACACAGCGACAGCTCCATCACCATCGACCACTCGGCCTTCTGTCGCGACCTCACCCAGATGCCAGCGGCTTCAGGCCCTTCTCGGACAATGACGGAAGGCGAACTCAGCCAAGACCGTGCAGTTCTTGGCAGTGTGCAATGGAGGGTTACCCAATCAGGACCTCAGCATGCTGCGAAATTGGGATATCTTCAAAGCCTCCTGGCTTCTAAGGACTCCGACTGCATCAACCAGATCAATAAGTTGGTCAGAGAAGTGCAGAGTTCACGTCACCTTGGGACCCATGTTCAGAACCTGGGGAATTGCCCGGCCGAGGACCTGGTGTTCGTCGGGTGGAGCGATGCCTCGCTCGCAAACAGACCAGATTTATCAAGTACAGGCGGATTCCTCATAGGGATGATGACGCCGATGGATGTGTTGTCTGGTCATGGGCGCGTGAACATGGTGTCGTGGCGGTCCCAGAAACTTCCGCGCGTGGCGAGAAGTTCCCTGGCAGCAGAGAGTCAAGCCCTCTCCCTGGCGGAACAAGAGATGATGTGGTGCCGGTTGACATGGAGAGAGCTTCTTGGTGATGAGATTGATTTAACAACACCCTCCGACTACACGGTCAAGACGAAGGCCTATCTTATCATCGACGCCCGCGGTGTGTATGACGCCCTTCTCAAGGGAGCTGATTTCTCATCCGGGTTCAACCTCCGGGACAAGTACTCGGCGTTGGATCTGATGGGAGTGGCGGACCAGCTGAAGGCCCAAGGAACCCTGCTGGAATGGTGTGATAGTGACCATCAACTCGCTGATGGACTTACTAAAAGCAGCAAGCAGGATTCGCTGAAGAAGTTCCTCACCACTGGGACGTGGCGTCTGAGACTTCCGGGAGCCTTTATGTCAGCTCGCCGCCGTAGAGCCCTTGAAATCGAGCAAGCTACTGTTGCTTCTTGAAGATCTTTTGGGGCATGTCAAAGGCAACGCCTTGAAAGATAACCGCAACCAAACAATTCAATCCGCATGCAGCTTGCTCACGTATAGATTCTGTCACCCGCAGGACGTCCTTTGGCCGAAAGCTTTTATGCTAGCCAGCTACGGTAGTTCAAGTGGAAACTCTAGGTTTCTGACGCGAGCCATAGGCTTCTCGGGTGCCCTGAGCGCACTACTTGGACCTTGAGGGCCAAAGAGAAAAAGGCGGAGCGGAACCTCTTCGTTGACTTCGTGTGCCGAGCCTAATCCCTTGACAGCTGTTGCCAACGTCCCTCCGACGAGGAGGGAGGCAAAAACAAGTCAACGCTATTTTAGCGTTCCTTTGCCCCAAAACCTTATTGTTCTAACTTGTAAGGCCCCTATATCACACCAATCATGTATTGGCAGCAGGGAAGCCGTCAGAAGTCATGCTTCAATTGAGGTACAGCCTACTGTTCTTGACGCAAGGCATGCGGCCCGGGATGTGCACAGAGTTTTGAGCTACCTTGGAGAAGTTTCGGGGTTGTTTCTTTTTTGGGTGGATTGGACTTACTTTCTCTAGGACCAGGAGTAATTTGTTTGACTCGAATGCGTTCAGAAACAAGGGCATGCGTCGTCGCGAGGAAAGCTGCATCTGTCAGCGAAAGAACTCTAAGAAGGGTGAGCGCATGGCCTCAAAGCGGGAGCCAGCCCCTGCAGGTGTGATTCTGGGCAGCGTCAGCTTAGCGGACACTATTTGGTGCCAGAGGTTGGAGTTATTATCTTACAAGACAATGCAAGATAGTACGTATCTATGTATATATATATATATATATGTGTGTGTGTGTGTGCTATAGCATGACAGTATACATCATAATAGTATACTGTAATACTAATATGTATTTGCTATGTTTTTATATACACATACATAACAAAGCACGATGCCTTGAGAGCTGTTGTTTCCTCGCCCTGCATTGTGAGTTTCCGGAGCGAGGATGGTACGGTGATCCCCTCCTCAAGCATCAGTGAAAGGATAGCAAATGTGAGCAGGTCGGGCGGACTTTCTCCGACGATTGCCACTTATTGGGATTGCCTGGCACAAGGCATCGGATCACGGGCGAACTGATGAGTCCTACAAACGTTCACCATGCCGGCTTAGGGGTTCGGGTGATTGGAGCTTATAGGATCGCATTGAGAAAGGTTGATTCGGAGCGCTTGAAAACTTCCAGGGCAGGTTGAAGATGTGCCCTTGCAAGACTTAGCTGAGTGCTGTTACTTTGCATTAAGACAAAATATAAGGGGTTACTGGGTTAATTCAGTAACCTACAATTTAGGTCCCTGGAGCGAGATTTGAGACGTGGGCCGGTGCATGTGTCGTTGAAATGCTGAGCCAGGAGGCTCCGGGTTTCTGCGGCTCATCCCCTTGAGGAAGAAGGGTTTGGGGTTTAGGACCGCCAACAACGACTTCAGGAGTCTAAGGCAAGTCGAGCATTCGAGGATGCCGACACATAGTGAGTTGTTTTTTCCTTGTGAAGCCTGTTGACTTTGCCCGGCTGAAGAACGGCAGAAGCGGCAATACTGGCAGTCATCAAGTCCGGTTTCAAAAAAAAAGGCAATTCGGATAAGTAATTGGCTGAAGGTCCTAGCAGGATCGCGAGGGGCTTCTTCCCAAGACCGCCTACCACGTTACTCGAGAAGACTTTGGAGCTTCTCGGAGACGTTCCACGTGCTACAATTTACTGGGGCTCCAGTTGCTTGAATAGTAGGTTACTAGCCCTTTAATCTATAGCCCAGTAACCCATTATTTACAGTAGGTCGCTGGAGCCCTTCGGTTTGTTTTGGAAAACACGCATTTGGAGGCCCAGAGACATGCAAGTTGGGGCAAGGCCAGACTGACTGACGGATCCAGGAGCAGGGGCAGAATGCATTCCGCCCAGCACTTTACTGGCGGATTCGGTATCAGTCCAGGATCAAGACCCAAAGTGCTCCGCCCCATGTGCTGGCACTTTCAGGAGCAAAACCAAAATGCTTCCCTCAAGTACCGGCGGAGTCCGGATCAGACCCCAAATGGGTAGCTCTCTAAAATAGGGTCCCTTTTTAGGGTGCCCAATACAGAACGGCACCCTTATAATAAGGACCCTAAAAGGGGCCCTAATCTTGAAAACCATTCAAATGCTTTCCCCCGAGCAATGGCACTTTCAGCGGACTCTTGGGCTCCTGTCCGGACAGACCTAGTGTTCAGCCCCGGAAGATACTGTAAGTAGAACACTGTCAAGAATTGCCAGTCACGCGATATACAAATAGTCAGCGCGCACGTCAGTACAGCGTTTTGAAGGGTAGTTGCGTAGTGCGTAGGCGTAGCGACTCCGAAGGAAGCCTCGTTCGGTTTAGGGTTTAGGGTTTAGAACGGCCCGCAGATGATGACGTCATTGTGGCCAGGATTGTGCTTCATGGACCACTTACCTTCGAAGGCAACATCAAGTTGTCCGGCAACTTGACGTCCCCAGGTCGCAGTCTAGCATCTTTTACTGGATGTGTTGATGCTCGCCATGTGGCTTAAAGTCTTCGGTGTTTCTGTATGTTACTGCATCCTGCCAGAGTCCTCACTTCTTGATCCGCACCGCGGAATTAACTGGCCAAGGATTACTGGCACTGGGGAGAAGTGGGAGCAGGTGCCATCGTGAGATCACGTTGCCTCCCCTAGCCGCCCTAGCAGCCCTGGCTCTGCCCCTCCGGAATCTCATGATGGGCTCTTCCTGCAAGGTCTTGGGGTCTTTTGGGGTCTCTATAGGGTGGTGCTTGCAAAGCTCTAGGGTGGAGAGTGCCTCCCAGGCCATGGCACGATTACAAGCGAATAGTTCTAATCTTCTATTGGAAGATCATATCGTGTGGTATGATATCATGTCACCTGGTGTCATGTGCATCATATCATATTTCATCGCTCATTTCATATAATGTTGTTATATCATATGATATATAATATCATATAGTGTAGTGCCCTTTGATTTATAAAGCGCAATAGATGTCTTTGCCGGCTGATGGAGCTCTGAGCCTGTCTTTGTTTTGTTTGTTAAAGTCTGGTCTGTCGCCCGGAGTGCGAGTCTTATCACCGAAACCCGAAACCCAACTCAACACCTAAGCCCTGCAGGCAACCCAAAATCTCTGCAAACCTAAAACCGATCTATGACAACATCCGACACAGTCAAATGTACTGATGTCTGTATCAGCTTGCCTTTTGTGTGATGGATCAGTATTGCTACAGACCTTGCCAGGCTTGTCCCAGAGTGAGTGTCAAAAACCGATCTAGTATCGCTGTAGTAGTTCTTATAATTGTAGTTAACCCTTGTAGTACTTCTAGTTGGCTTCTTGATTTAAAACAAAGGCCCGAAACCCGAAACCCTCCACCCCGACTCAAGACCACATGCCTCGCTTGGATCGTCCGCGTGTGAGTGCCGAAGCCACGAGTCACGAGGCCTGCTTCGGCACCTGGGGAGTCTTAACAGTGGCCAATGATTCGACGATCTCCATAAGCAACTGCAGCCCGGCTTAGGTTTAGGGTCTTAGAGTTTAGGGTTTAGGGTTTAGGGCTAGGGGGCTTTGGAGTTAATGGTTCAGGGGTTCAGGCTGGATTTAAAACATTGGTGTCTCTATTGATCTGTTAGGCGTTGTTGGAGTCCGGATTTGAGGCTCTAGGACGTGCATACATCCTGCACGAGCAGAGTATGCGCTGAAACATGCATTGGAAGACCCTTAAACTACATGTTCTTCCATACAGTTTAATTCTGGCACCATTAGATCTGTTTCCAAACGCTCATTAATGTGTTGTTGATGTTGGTCGTCCTTGTGGCTTTGCTCGTGAGACCATGAGATCTACTGAGAATCTACAGCACATAAATCATGAAGTGTCCGGCATGTCGGTTCAGTTTGTACGGTTCCACCTCGAGTTGTCACCCTAAACCCTAAACTCTTTCTTCATCCTGTTCTCCCAGACACCAGGCATGTCGTGTTCCCCGTGCAGCTCCTGAGAAGAAGCACGCACATCCACTTGAAGAGTAGGGTTACCAACCATATAATATATAGCCCGGGAACCCAGATGCAGGTGCACACTTACAGACGGAGACAGAAATCAGAAAATAATTCCAGCCAAATGCAATGGCCGGAAGCGCTCGTGACACTTTGGGATGCCGTTAGGGTTCCGGAACATTTTACCGGCTGCGTTCCTGCAGGCATCAACCGCAGGGCAGTTTCACTACCCGGACGCGGCCATCCTTTTGACCAAAGCTACAAATTCACCAGCAACTTGGCTGTGGGCGTGCCCTACAGTCTGAATCCTCCACCCTGGCATGCGGGTCACAAGCTGCGATGTGGGAGGCAAACAACGCACTTGTCAGTTACTCTAGCCCCAGCCGACACAATCTTGACATAAGTGATATCAGATAGGAAGCAGGTCCGCAAGATGGAACCAAAGGTTGCAAGGCTTCATCGGGGTGGCTACATCGCGAGTCGATGGGCATGTTGAGGAAAGCACGTCTTTCATTCATTTTGATTTTACCCTAACCCTCCAGATACCTACTATATAGGGCCCTAGGGGCTCTAGTACCCTTTTTAGTAGGTACCTGGGGGGTTAGAGTTAGTTCATGCTTGGAACGCAGAGGCAAGGCGCAGACGCTGCAGAGATTCGTAGCGTTGTGGGGTCGTGTGCGTTTGCGGTGCTTCGGTGCAGACACCGATGTATGAAAGCATCTTTGTCGACAATGCCCCGCAGCTGTGGAAAGTTGACCTGGAGCTTTCGTAACCGCGTCCGTCTGAGGTGGAGGATGCATCTCAGCGGAAGGCAATGGCAGAGAGAAAGAGGGGGGACCCTAAAACTTCATCGTGCGTATGTATGCATGCATACATGTACGTATGTACGTAGCGCGCATAATGCAATGTAATGTGGACAAGCTTTTTTTGTCCTGTCTTGGTCCTGTCATGTGCTGTGCTGTCGCCCTGGCCTGGCCTGTGGCCGGCTGGCTGGCATCTGTCTGTTTGTCTGCCTGACCGTCTGGCTGTCTTCCCATGTATGTAATGTATGCAAGGCATGCAATGTATGCAGCATATGTACTGTATGTATATGCGTACATGTATACATGCATGCGTACAGCAATTATTTATGCATTATCGCAGTCCTGTGTTCATGCATTCATTCCATTCCGTTCCATTCCATTCCATTCCATTCCATTCCATGCCATTCATTCATTATTTCTCACTATTTTTTTCTTTCGTTCGACCTTCGTTCTGTCGTTCGTTCTGTCGTTGATTCATTCATTCGTTCATTCATTCATTCATTCATTCATTCATTCATTCATTCTCTCAGTCATCGCTTTATTCGTTCACTCATTCACGAATTCATTCGTTCGTTCGTCCGGTCGTGAATTCAATCTTACATTCGTACAGACATACATACATACATGCACATCCGCATAGATTCAGACAGGTAACGGACACATAGACCTGTGGCTTGTTTATTGAAGCCTGTGACATCTTACGACACGGCAAAAAAACTAGTGGCTGCGAAAGTCAAGATTGCAATGCGGCGCTGTTTTATCTTCCACCGTACTGCACGCACGTATTGCCGAGTAAAATGCGGCGGCTACCTTCCCAGTATCCGAATGCGGAAAGCACAGCCGTGACTTGTCGGGTTGGTAGATAGGCTTAACGATGAATGCCTCTGTCTTGACATAGGAGTTGTGGTGGAGGGCGGCTTCCTGTCCGTGAGGGAATGTCATGGCAATGCTGGAGGAGGCGGAATGCGTATGGAAGTGCATAGTTATATTGCCACGACGATTGACGTCCATGACAGACGCGCCGTCAAGCCACCCATCAGCTTGACGAGGGTTTGGCAAGCCATGCAAGCACAGGCATTAATGTCGGGATGGCCGGTTTTGTGCAGCCGCTGGTCTGCAACCAGATGTGGCTGCTTGGATTTCTTTCGCGAGCCGGGACGGATTGCCTTTCACCGTGGTGTGCAGCATGAGGCCACGCCATGCTGCCCAGTGTCCTAGTAATAAATGATGGTTTGACCTTGCTGTTCAGTCGTTCTGCAATAACTGCGTGCAGGGAAGGTGATATGTGGCAAGTCTACACGACACGACGTGCATTGCACCACCCTGCCGCACTAAGGAAAGGCGGAAAGGTCCACATTGAGGATTGCTATGCAGAACAGCAAGGAGGCCGAGCAATGCCACCGGGGCAGATAGGAAGGGAGCAGTGGTGAGAGCCACCCCAGGCAACTTCAACAGAACACGTCCGTTTAGCAGCAGGCTTGTAGAGCATGTTTTCAACGGACTTAGAGAAGAGAATCTGACGTGAGTCATGTGCACCTTCACTCACTGCCGTGTTCATCTTCGGGTCGCCGCCAGCATCGAGATTGCTTGCGCTTCGTCTTCTTCAAAATATGGTTCGTGTCCTTGTTGTTGCTGCAGCCACTACGGCTGACAGCGTCCTGAAGCAGTCGAAATTGGGAATGTTCCTACTTTGCTAAAGGCTCCGAACAGGCCTATCAGCTGCCGGTCCTCCCGGGTTTTCTTCTTGAGAGGGGGCGCTTTTTCTTGCGGTAAGTCGGGAGGGTGTTCACCTCACGTGGCTGGGGCTCAGTCGGGAATGAGTTGTACGTGGAACTCTGACCTGCAAGTTTGAACTTTGAGATGTTCATGATGCAGTTGGGTAAACTGGCTGCTTTAACGGGTTTTGCTTAGATCCGGCCGTGTTTCGGTGTTGGTAGAGTGCTGAGAACCCAAAGCACAGATCTCCAGAAGCGTGGAAACGTCAAGTTTCGAACACGCTTTCGTTTCTAAACAAGGGGTGTGGCTAATACCTGGACAAGAAAAGGAAACCTGTTCAACACGAAGTCCAAACAGTTGTTTGTTTGCTACGTTTTTCTCTACCGCTCGTCGGAAGTTGAGTTGCGAAAACAGCAGGCAGCGCGTCTACGCCGGCTCAGTGTTTTCTCCAGCCTATGTGGCTTCATGATTACGAGGGGACCTGCCGCACCACCGATGTCAGAGAGACCTCGTCAGCTTTTCAAAAGCCAGGTGCACCGAGCGGCTTCTGGCTGCATTTTGCTGCAGTTTCTTGTTTTCGGCATTTTTGGGCCCAACCACAAGAATTTGCTCTCCCAGCTGTGGTCGTGATTGTCCTGTTTTTCCGACGGGGTCAAGCAATGAGTCAGGAGTGACGGGCTCCGTGAAATATGAGCAGCGGTACGCTTTTAATTGCAGGCTTCTTGTGTGCACACCGTATGGCCACGGAGAGTAGCGCTCCTCGTAGAGTGAGCGGTGGGGTCTCTATGCGCTGCTGTCTTTGTTGGGTCCTAAAATACTCATGCAGCTGGCTGCGGAGCACTATTTTACATGGCAATGCACGGGCTTCCGAGGTAGATTTCAAGGCTCGTTTCGTTCTTTCACCGTTCCCCCTCGCGTCGGCAGTTCAATTTCTACCTATTGCCTGTAGGCACATCTGGTCCCTTCCAGCGGCACTGGGCTGCGGCGCGTCTCAATTTCCCATTCTGTGCTCGCCAAGCGCGTCGAAGTTCTTTAATGTGTGTGTGTGGACCTCTGTTGCTAAGAGGACCAGAGTGTTTGCAATACTGTCGAACAATGCTGACTGACGGAAACATCTCTGAACAATGTCAGTTGCATTCTTGCAGGGGCATGCGGCACTTATGTCCTACCACATGCAACGAAGCTGTGGACATGAGTGGGAAGTGAGAATTGATCACTCGCGTGTACCTGCAGGGAGTCGCTCATGGGTCACTTGTGTGGCAGCTTGGGGGCTCGGTCGTGATTGCAACAGTCAGTTACATGCCAGTGATGCAGTTACAACAACAACAACAAGAACAAGAAGCAACAAGCAACAAACAACAAAGAACAAAGGACAAAGAACAAACAGCAATCGGTAAACAGCAAACAACAAAAAGCAAACAGCAAACAACCAACAACCAACAACAACAACAACAACAACTACAACTACAACAACTACAACTACAAGAACAACCACAACAAACACAATAACAACCACAACAACAACAAGCAACACAACTGCAATAGCACAGTATACAACCACCGCTAATTCTAATTAGAATACTAACAATAGCAACAACAATAGTAATCACAACACACTAATAACTGAACAGCACGCAAAACACACGGACACACTTAGGCATCCATCTCGCAGCCACTCATCAATTGATTATCAAGCACTGCTTGATGTATAACGAAAGCATTAAGCTTTCAGGTGTTCCGGTACCTGTCTGGCCTCAAGGCTGATCAGTTGTGTTCTGCTTGTTATTCTGTTGGTGTTGGTGTTCAGGTTGGTGTTGGTGTTGGTGTTCTGTTGTGTTGCTGTTGCTGCTGCTGTTGTTGTTGCTGCTGCTGCTGTTGCTGTTGCTGTTGCTGTTGCTGTTGCTGTTGCTGCTGCTGCTGCTGTTGCTGCTGTTGTTGCTGTTGTTGCTGTTGATGCTGTTGCTGCTGCTGCT